TTTGATACGTTTCCGGTATATTAACGGTTACGGTTAGTATTTTTTTTTAACCGTAACTAATCTAGTTTTACGGTGAATGGTTATGGTTTTAACCGTTTATACAGTTACGGTTGAAAAACGATTCAGTTATGATCCAAAATACGGTTACGGTTAGCTTTTGGTCCAGTTACGATCCAAAATACGGTTACGGCTACGGACCGTTTCTCAACCGTAACCGTATAAAACGGTTAAAAACTGTAACCGTTAACCGTAAAAAATAATCAGTTACAGTTAAAAATATATTAACTGTAACCGTTAATTAACGGTAAACATATGAAAACCGTTATTTAACCATATGGTTAACCACATAGTTAAAACTTTAAAAATATAATTGTAACTCCATATAATGCAAAAACAATTATCGAATATTCAGATTAAGATTTTCAAAAAAGTAAATGATACTGCATATGAAAAAATCTACGTTATAAAAAATGGTCTTTTTCTCAAACAAATATGTTATACTGTTATTTTGCTCGAAATGAAGAAAATTTGGTTTGTAACATACTTTTTGATTTTATGAAAAATATTATAATAAGTTAGGTAACTCGTAAGATTTCGCCTCTGATATTAACCGTATTGTAGTCATTAAATAACTATAACCGTAATTATCCGTAACCATATTTAACCGTAACCGTTATAACCGTATTTAATCGTAACCGTATTTAACCATAACCGTATTTAACCGTAACCGTTTTAATTTGTTTTTGTTTTTGTCCAAAAAAAACTGTTTATGTTATAGTGTACCGCTTTTCATAAAGTTTTTGTGATTGGTAACTGTCAAAGCTGTATAAAGCTGTACAACTTTATTTTTGTTCACCAATCAAAGCCATTAACAAATTTATTTATTTATATTTTTTTTGGTTTTAATGTTAAGATTTTATACCAAACGAACAGTTACAATCTAATCTACACAAAACAAATAAATCACCCAATAACACAGGAACCAGCAGACAATAGATTACAAGGGCTAAGCCATATAAGAGAAGTAACAAATTGAAGAACGAGATGGAGTCAATCTCTAAATGCATCATAAATATGAAATATTTCTATCATTGCTCAAATTAGTGTTAAGGAAATAAAAGGAAATGATAAGCTAGTCAAATCTAGAAACGAAGGACACATTTATCAATTGCCCAGATTATAAGAACTGACTGTAATAAATGGCCAAAATAAAACTCAGTAACCAGGCGGTCGTGGTCTGGTGGTAAAGGGCTCACAGCTGTGAGTACCGCCACCAGGGTTCGATTTCTGGCCACTGCGTATTCACATTGGCGCTCCGCAGGTCTCCAGGAGCCAACACGTGGAGAGCCGTTTGGCTGCCCATGTGGCTAGTCTGTGCGAACCGATAGCTAACACGTGGAACCCTGCTCTGTCGGCTCGTCGCCGATAGCTAACACGTGGAACCCTGCTCTGTCGGCTAGTGATAGGAAATCTGGGTTATCAAAAAAAAAAAAAAAAAAACTCAGTAAGTGATGGTTAATAAGTGAAAAAAAAAAAGAAAAAAAAAAGAGAGGCAGTGGAAGTGAGAGTAGGGGATGACTTATGCATTGGATGTTTTATTCAACGATTAACAGTGATCAAAAGATTTGGCAGTGGCAATGAAGTGAAAAAAATGACTGACTACAGATATTACTGTTCCTCCTGCTTCAGCCCACGTGCGTGCATGTGTCTATCTATAATCATCATCTGTGTTCGTGTAGGTTTTATGTTCCGGGTTTTTATGTATATTGTCACAATTAATACCGGATAGTTTAATAATACAAAACAATACGATTTTTTCCGAGTACAAGAAACGGCAAAAAATATCAGATTATTTAAAATTGATGAAGAATAGCAATAAGAAAAATGGTATGAAAAAGCTGAAAATAGCGTTTTCGTAACATTTTTTATATCATTTTTGTAATTAATAAATATTAAACCGGTACATAATTGTTAATCACAGCCACTATATATCTACATGACAATATTACGTTTTTTCTTTCGAGTTGATTTAAATAGCGATTTTAATTCTTTTAATTAAAGCCCTTAGATTATTAGAAAGACACATTGTTCATATGATCTTAAACTATTTTGGGTATCTACAATTTGGATGTCATCAATTATTGATGGATCCTTGAAATATACTTGTAAGTAAATATATTCAGAAATTAAATTTCAGTTTTCAACTTTTTTTTGTATTTGCATTTTGGTGATATTCACAAGAATTGTAATTTTAGGACACCATCAATGTTTTTCATAACTTTATTTTTTTTGAATTATGAAAGCTTGACTATAAATTACAGTGATGGTAGGATATTGAAAACCTAAAACTATTTTAAAACTTTTTATATTGATTAGAAGATTGTTTTAGTATTTTATATATATAAAATGATTAGTAAACTGAAACAAAAAATTGACAACCCAGATAAAACGTATCTAGTTGATGATGTTATTGTTGAAAT